GGGTACACAGAACAACAAACTGATATGAATACGAGACGACAAAAAGATTCTTAAAGGGCAAAACAGAAAATCGAAAGAAATAAATAAAAAAACAAGATTGTCTCATCATCATCATTCAGAAGCTTTCTCTGATGGTTTTCTACATAGAATCATATGCATCGGCGTAAAGATTCCAGTCTCACCACCTCTAGTCAAATAATCAGCAGTCTTAAACAACATGTCATGAACATCAACTGTTCCTTTAGGTGCAATCCCAATAGCAGACAAAACCACAACCACAACATGGTTTCTCCAATAAGCAAGTCGACCCATCTTTAACCGGTTCCACCACGGTTTAGCCGGTGGTTTAGCCAAATCTTTCTCTTGCAAAATCTCAAACCCTACTTTCTTCGCCGTCTCAGCTATGTCTGAATATCTTCTCAGCCCTGGAAGTGCATCTCCTCTCTCTATCCCTTGAATAACCTCCACGTGTTCTTCATCTCCCTCTCTGTATTTCTCTGTAGTAACCCACTCGTAAGATACGTACAAAGATCCTGGTTTCATCACTCTAAAGATCTCTGCGTAAACTTCTTCGAGTTTAGGTGCATGACACGTTGCTTCGATGGAGTAAGCACCATCGAACGTGTTATCATCGAAGGGCATCTCCAAGAAGTTACCACAAACGACGTCGCATAAAGAGTCTAACCCTGCTTTCTTGTTGTGCAGTTTTGCTCGTTTCACTTGGTACTCGTTGATGGTGATTCCAACAACTTTAGCTTTCGAATGAGCCGCGATGGCTCTCATTGGACCACCGACACCACAACCTGCGTCGAGGATCTTTTGTCCTGGTTTGACATTGATTAGGTCAACGGCCATTTCTTCATGGATTCTTGTGGCGTCTTTGTCGGATTTTCCGGGGATATGAGGAGAGAAGTGGAAAGATTGTCCCCATCCCCACTCGTAAATGTCAGTCACGAGGTTGTAGAACGTGTCGACGAAGTCAGGGACATTCTTGGAGGTTTCGAGTTCTTTAGGTTTGCGGAAGAAAGACCAGTATTGGTTGTAGTTTTCTTTGACTTTTTCTGCGGAGATTGAGCCACCGGAGAGATCTGAGGCTCGTTTGCCTTTTCGTTCAGCTGGTCCTAAGACGCAGATGAACCAGTAGAGACCTCCAGCGATGAGACCGGCGGTGCAGAAGAGTGTCACCGAGTCCATTTTTTTTGTTGAAGAGAGAGAGAGAGATGTTTGAGGCTCTTTGCTTCTTACCGAGTTTAGTGGTTTTTATTTGGGAAGATGTGTATCGAAGGAATATACTTTCAATTAAATAATCCGTTTTACTGAAGAAAAAAGATAGTGGAAATCGATCTCTTTTTCCAAAAAAAAAAAAAAATGGTGGAAATCGATCTCATGGTCCATATACTAGTGCCTATATAGGACAAAAATAAGATTCCGATCTGTGATTAGTAGACGAAATAAATACCAATGATTTATCATGCTAATACCATTATTGTATCATCATCATTCGGATTAAAACCCGTATATTTTGACAAACAAAAAATAAAACAATGAATATTTATCTCTATGTCGTGAACAAAAATGGATTAAACCAAATTTAATAAGTAAACAACAATAGATGAGAAATATACTAAACTTTTTCCATAGAATTGAACTTCGTAGTAATTCTCCATATGACACAAGTGGCATATCTATATTCACATTTCATACATTTCCACCATTTTATATATGCTTTGCCAATCAATTTGAAAATCCTGGAAATACGTACAATATGTTTCTCAATTTAATTTCCAATCATAAAAAGTACTAAATCAAATTTATATTTTTCTTGGGTGGATTAGTAAATCTCTTTACATACATATAATTTTGTATCGTTTACAACTTACATCCGCATATAAATGCTAGATTTGAATCCAAATTATGACATAAATAACAATGACATTATATAGTCTTAACTACTATTAGTTTACAAACTCCAATTACCTATAGATCCGTTTATTGGCAAATCTGCATGACTACATGTGAATATAAAAGCCGTGAGATCATTATTTTCTCAATATCTTAAATATTTTTTTTATTTTTTTGCTAAATCTTAAATATATTTTCCAGCATGATCTTACGCTTATTACCAGCATTTCATTTGTTTCCACGTTGTAGGGTCAATCCAGCTCCTTAACATTTCTCTATCGAAATGTCCTGTAATATATTCATTTTTATATATTTCTTCCGCTCTCCGTTATATATATAATCGGTTGATCATAAGAGCGGAAGAATTTTTTTCTGGATCCAAAATGACCCCTGCCTAAACATATATAATCCAATAT